GGAGAAAATGGGCGCCATTTTGAGATGGGCCAAGCGGCGCGCGTTTAAATGGGAGCCCAAAATACGAACTTTTGGACTCGTATTTCGTGGGTTAATATTGCTCAAAAAAATCGGGGAAAATTCCTGTGAACTCTGTGCACTCTCTAGTTTCCAAAAATGCAAGAATTACGAATTGCTGAACAAGCTCATTTCCGTGCCTCGCCCGGCCGCAGTGCAAAATTTCCCTTTTTCCCGTCCTCACTGACGCTCGGGAAATGTTCTCCGGGCTGTTGGCAACGCATAATTTCACTGATGATTAGCCTGCATGAAAAGAGCGCATTTGGCAGATGAAAATTCACACGTTCTCGGCGTACTGTTGCAACGCGCGTTAATTTTCGCGAAAATTCGAGGGACGTGTGTTGGAAATTTTTCTCTTGGCTGTTGGCAACACATAATTTTACGGATGATTATTTGTCCAAATTAAGGGAGTGTATTTAGTCGATGAAATTGCGTTGGCTCTCGTCGGACAACTACGCGTGTGCGCGTTAATTTTTGAGGAAATCGGAGGAACGTGAGTGGGAAACTTTTCTCGTCATTTTCGATGAGCGGAATGGTAGGTTTTTGGCCACTTAAATATCCGAGCACTATTCTGCGGGCCGATTATTGAAATTCATAACCAAAGCTATAGACAAAGAAGACTAAAGAGATATGGAAGGGTCCTATTGGTGGAAGCGGGTGGTTGCAATGGACAAAGAAGGTAGGTAATAGACTAATTGTAAGTAACGGCAACCCAAGAGGGGCCCGATAGTTAGTCCATCATCTTCTGTCTCAGTCTTGAGGAACCACTTATTTCAACCAATAGGAAAGCTCCATACTCTCTTTGTCTTCTTTGTCTATAGCTTTGTCTATTAATTTCAATAATCGGCCCGCTGCCGTGCTAAGGAAGTCGAAGAACGCCGTATGAACATGCGAGAGTTGCCGAATCTCCTTCGATTAAATGTGTATTCTCGGGGAAAGTTATGAATATTTTCCGTGAAATTTTCAGGAATTTTAGGTGAAAGTGCGAGCGGGGTGTCTAGCATCAGGATCTTCCCGATTTTCTCGATTTTATCAAGATTTGAGGTCAATCAGGATTTAATCCCGATTTCATCAGGATTTGAGGAAACATTGGTCGTAAAATCAGGATTTGAGAAAAGTCGGTCGTCCGATCGGATTTTTTATGGGTGTTTTCGCACAAGCTCCTACGGAAATTTTAATTTTTCTCCGCAAAAAATCAGGATTTGGAAAAATTATGAAATCAGGATTTAGGAGTCAAAAATCAGGAAAAATCAGGATTTCCCTAAATGAAAAAAAAAAAAAAAACTAGACACCCTGGCGAGCCAAATTACTCGAATATGTAGAAGAAAAATATTCATAAGTTTCATAAGTAAATAATTTAAAGAAAACCGCGGAGGCAGCCCGAGTCATTTTGCTAAAATAATTCTACTTTTCGATTTGCGGTTCTTTTCTAGTTTTAAGACGTTTTTTTCGGACTGTTTCTAACTATTTCATGATCAAATGTCATGCACAATCGGTGAAGTTTTTTGTAAGTTGACAACATTGGTTTATTCTGTTTTAATCCGTTATGAATACCCATTTGTAAGCGAGGTATCCTGCCTCTTCTAAAATCAATCGTTTTGTTCCCTTTCAAATGGAGGAAAAAACGGATACAATTACACACATCAAATGCTTTTCAATATGATTTGACTCTTTGGGACTTTTTGCTATTCTAGGGTGGATGCCTATGCTGCCATGCTAAGGAAGAACGCCGTATGAACCTTCAGGCGTTTCCAAAATTTCTTTGGTAAATCACGAATTTTTGGTAAAATTAGTAAATATTTTTCTTCCGCAATTTTTCAGACTACTTTGTTCGCAATGCAATCTAAAATATCTGGAAATATTACGGAAAAATATACATACATTTCGTCAAAAAACATGTTTTATTCGGTGAAATGTGGCAACTCTCGAATGTTCATACGGCGTTCTTCCTTAGCACGGCAGTATGATTGAGTACCAATTTCGCGCTGCATTCCCGCGAAATTACCTAAAAAATTGAGTATATAATGCTAATTCCTTTTTGCATTTATTTCTAGTACTTGGCCAGTTCGCGCGGTTTTTTCCTCTTCTTACTTGCGCTTGATGACTCATTCTCTCTAAACTGATAATGGCTACATTATTAAATCATCTTCGTACAGTAGGCGGTTAGAAGTATCGCGTAAATGATTGTTTTTTCCGCGCGCGGCAGGAAATAATCTTATCTGCACGCAGGCTATCTCGAACGCTATTAACTATGTTTGACACACTTCAAGATTTCGAGTCCTCATTTCCGCTCAAGCAATAAGGTACTCCACTTTTGGAGTTGATTTTTCTAAAAGTATTTTTGGAAGTGTCGTTTAACCTTATCTTATTTTAAAGATTAAGCTGAAACCACTGAATGAACTCGAAACGAGCGTAAGTAGTATAAGACCTTCTCGTGAACTTGAAACAGTTTACTTCTCCGTTGTGTATCTATCGCAGGCAAATCGTCAAAGCAGGCATTTTGTCAAATGCCTAGGCAAATCGTCAAATATTTTGACTTGGATTGAAATTATGCGCCTGTTGCTGATTTTAGACAAAGTAAGTAATTGCTTCTGTAGGAGAAATCTCTATACAAATGTGCTGCGTAGACAATTATTTTCTCCCTGTTACCGAATCATGCAAGGTTGAATCTCCTTCATCTTATTAGGTGTGCAATTTGCGCTTCTTAGGAGTTAGAATAGTTGTATGGTGCAATTTTCTCTTTCACCGAAAGTTAAACATTGAACGAAAGGAATGCAGGGCTAGGTGCAATTCAGTTACTCTCGTGTAGGAATTTATTCAATACGTAGCATAATTAACTTAGTTCTGCAGAAGACAAATAAATATAACTTGATACTTAAAAGAAAAGCAAAATTGTAGCGAATAATGAGAATGAGTTTTCAATAACCATAACTACTTAATTTTGGAAAATTTTACTAAAATAATGCGGAAACAAGCATATCAAACTTTTTTATTTTGGATTACGTACAAAACTGAATTTAAAGTGCTTCAGCAATCATTAGTATGTACAAATCAATGGCTGTAGCAGTAGCTAGTAGCTTATAAATAAAGTCAATACTACGCACGTAAAAGCCTTAAATACATAGGTACGCGACTCTAGGTCTTGGTTTTTGTCACCTCGGAAATTAACTAACTTAATAACACTCATGTACCTGTTTCATGATCAAAAAACGAATTTTTGCTCGCTGCAGAAGAGTTTTACAATTGGACGTATTTCTGCCAAACGGAACTAGGTGCATTTCGACATGAGCCCTGAGATCCATAAGAATGTATGTGTCGCAGGCAAATAGTAAAATCAGGCATTTTATCAAATGCCTAGGCAGTTAGTTAAATTTTGAAGGTCTACAAAATTTTGTGAATTTATGGCGGAGATCTCACGAGTTTTCAATATTTTAGGAAAAAATAACTCATCAAACCTACGAACTCTTTTTGTCTATGCCTCTCCGATAGCTTCTCATATTTTCAAACGTTGAAATTCTAAAATTTCTGTTTTTTATGACATGCTGCAAATTTCCGGATAAGTGTCTGCTCAGGAGCTAAAAATCATTTAAAATTCTATTGTGTGACGCAAATTTTTACTGATAATTTTTTCTTACGGGAGCAATCACATATTTTGTCTAAAATTAGGAAAAGAATCAAAATTTCAATCTAAGTTAATTTATTTGATTATTTGCCTAGGCATTTGACAAAATGCCTGATTTTACTATTTGCCTGCGACATATGCATAACAGGGATCTTATCATTATGCACATGGTTCCGTTTGACAGAAATGAGTCCAATTTTAATACTTTGTCCCTTGTCAAATTTTGTGAGAAACACAACCTCGTAACACAAAATCTCCTGGAGGTAAGCAGTAGTGTGGCGTGGCGTGGATTGTGATATATCATGCCTTTCAACCTATGGTAAAGAATGATTATTAAGGTGTTTGCTGCGCAGACCCTGTTTATCGATCCTTTTTCATAGGTTTAAATGGCATAATAATCGATATATCGCAAAGTACGCCTAACGTCTGTAGTAATTGTACGCTGGAAAAAAAAACACATTGGATCTAGAGTTCAGACTCTTGAAAACATTGACAAAGAAAAGGAAATCCGCTCAAACTAAGAGGCTTGGTTCTTGAATTAAGTTTAAATCTAATTGAATCAAGAGTCTTTTTTCTTGTCGATGTTTTTAAGAGTCTGGACTATAGATCCAGTGTGTTTTTTTCCAGTGTATATGGAATCGGAATGCGAAAGTTAAGAGGAAACATTATTCTGCAAAAATGAATATCTCTCGAGTAAAGGGCTAAGTAGAACTTGGTCCGTAATGACGTCATGGAATTCCTGAATCTGGCAGTGGACTCTGTCTGTTTTCTTTTTTTTCTTTTTTCGATAAGGATTAATGGGACAGAAATTGGCAGCGTATCCGATCATTAGTGTGGATTCAGGTGTCTCATTACATCGCAAACAAAGAGAATCATCGCAGCGAAGCTAAATTGCCGAGGGAGAAAATTTTAGCCTCAATCGGAATTTTTTGGAATAGCGTTGACATAATGCGATTTCTTATGAGCGTCATAGGAGCACTGTGTTGTGTTTGCGTGTCGTTTTCCGTATCCTATAGCGTCCGCTGGGTCTTTTTAATCGTGCGCAAGTTTCCAAAAAAGTTTTTAAAACAACAATGATCGTTTTATGAACGTTCCAGGAGGAATTTAAGCCACGAAATCTTTTTCGCTAAGATAATATTTTATGTTCTCGGGTTACCTTCGGTTAACTTTGGGAGTGAAGCGCTGAGTAATTCTGAGTTTGTGCTAATCTCAGCACAGAGGGCTTTGAATTTTGCGCAAACTACAACGGTATGAAAACGGAAACCGTAGGTTTATATATTTTACGAAGGTTGTTTTAAAAAAATTAACTTTACTTTTATGGTTTTTTTTTAGATAATTGTTAAATGGTCCAGGATAAATTTTTAATTTTGGTCACATTTTAGAGTATACTTAAAAGTGCCCCGGAGTCCGTGTGTCAGTTTTTTCTAGCAGATTTCGAAGGGCGGAAAAAATCGTTCAAAAAGTCTGGTGCATGTTCATAACAACCAATATATTTGGATGACCGTAAGACATTTTTTTCACATTTTGGTATTTCTTATTTCTTAGAATACCTGCCAAGGAAAAATTGAACCGTGTTTCTCAATTTACTCTTAATTTGTGATCGTCTGAAAATTAGTTTTCTGGGTTGTTCCTGCCCGCCTTGAGAATGCCCCCCCCCCCTTTCGTCCCTAGAAAATTGTAGCCATTTGACTGCAAAGATCCGATTATTCCAAACCCCCCTTTCTAGCAAATAATCCAACCCCCCCCCCCACCTTCCGATATCTCATATCACATCTTAAATGATACTCAAATCCCCCTCATTTTTAATTTTTCACCTGATCAGTTTTTTCTGTCTTGTTACATTTTTGTCAACTTGTCTTTATTTTTTTTTAAATCTCTATTTAATCTGCCTAAGTATTTTTATTGTAGTCTTGATGGCAGCCTCGCTGTCTGTTTGATAACAGGCGAATTAATCTACATTTCTTCATACTCATGTTTGTACTTGTGGCTAGAAGTATTCTCTTGATGAATAAAAAGTTTGAATATAATAAAATCCCCCTCTCGCTTCAGTGTTTTACGATCATAGGGACGAATATTTTTTAAAGACCCTTTCACTAGTCTCCAGAGGATGGTGGAGTATTTTGTTTTCGGGGATTTAACATTTTCTTGCAGGTAGTAGCACCCTTGTTGGTGGTCAGCTACGGGTTAAATTGAGCACGAGACCGACATCTTTTAAGCGAAATGTATGGTAGAATCCTCACCGAATTAGTTTAAGCACTCTCATAGTGCAATAAACTATCAGTTGTGTTGAGCTTACAATTAGCATTGAAAGAATGTATTTACAAGATTCAAGGTGACGGATTCTCTACCTCATGAAAGAGCGTCAATTTATCTGGCGAGGCCTCTGGTTAAGAATAACAAACATGTTTGATTTTAGTTATTATGTAATCGTAGCTTATTTTGAAACCTATTAAGACTAAGTAACCTAACTTTATCCAGTTCATTTGATCCACCACCAAATAAAAAGAAATATGATGGCCTTTGCCTATGTCTTTAGCTCCTACGCGCCAAATAACGTAATCTGACCTAAGTGTTCTAAGTATAGTTTAAAAATTCAAACGTAAATGAGATATCATATATTACCGTACCTAAGCTATAATTTCAGTAAGTCTAGTCTAACTTACATTTTTAACCACGAAAAATCGCCTAAATTATCGAAAACCTAAATTATATGTTTTCTATTTATTTCAAAAGATCGAACGTAAATGAATGCTTATATGTTACCCTAACTAGTATACAACTTTTCCTGCAAGTTTTGTTTCTTATTATGCTATGACTAATATTATCAAACTAACCTATCCTAACTTAAATGTTCCACACCGATTTAAGGATTTAAGTAAATGAGAAGTAATATTTAATCGAACTTTATCTACATTTATTTTATTTTATTTGTTTTTTTATTTGTTTTTTGCAAATCTGGCTTATGTCTACTCACAACTTTATATTTTAAGATAATCATCAACCAATCTAATCTAATTGTTTTCCGAGTTTTAGTTTTCATTTTATTTTTAATTTTTGCCATTTTTTCTGTAATTTTTCATTTCTTTTATTATTTTTTTTTATTTTTTCATGTTTGAAATTCGATCTTTGGCTTACTTATCCAGAGTTAGCCAACGCTTCATTATTCTAAATCAGTAGATTACTAAGTATCAGTAGCGATTCTCTAAAGTTGGGAACACTGTGTTCCCTCCATTCAAATGTAGTTCAAACACTATATCCTTGGTGCGTTGCCTCACCTAAAATCGATATTTTTAATAAATTCGAATGAAGAAAAAACGGCGTTGCCAACTTGCAATATCGCCACTGCTAAGTATGCGAGGTGGAAGTTCATCAAACCGCGGCCTATTCGTCAAACAAATTGCTCAACTCAGCTCGTCGCTCAACTGCCAACAAGAAGGTACCTATAATTCTAAGAGTTGAATCTTAGGGTATCGGTGGTAGAGGTTCTAATGCCTGTCACCGCGGAGATAGTGAAGGGTCCCGGTCCCTGTCGAACCCCCCCCCTCCCCCTCTTAACCCCTCTCCCATGCAAAATTTGTAACGGGATACTAGAACGCACGTCCCTTATTGAGACGAAATGTTTAGCCTCGGCACTTCTCAAAATTTTAAGATCAGGAAAATATAATAAAATCGGTCCGAACACTAGTCCTGTATGTCTAAATAGTATAACCAAATTGTGACTGCGAAAATCTCAGTAACTTGACATGATCCCCCCCCCCTTCCCCCTTCCCAAATTGCAAATCCCGTAATGTAATGCTTGAACAATCCCTAATGAAAACTAATTTTTTAGCTTTAAAATTTTATTTGGATATTGGAAATCTGTAAATCCGTAAAATACAATAAGATCTGTTTAAATGTTAATTTTTTCCGTCTAATTTAATGGAAATGTAACTTTTCGGAAAACTTGGTAATTGACACTCCCCTCCCCCTCCCCCCGAAATCTGTAGATTAGTAAAATATCCAATACAGAGCGACAAGTTCCTGGAAAGTCCGTAAAAACCTATAAGTCAGGGCATTTTTTATGTGTATCGAACTTCGAATTAGTTTCTTTCAGTCAGATTATTGAAATTTTTCAATATCAAAAGGTTCGCGCCTACAATTTTTCGTAATAATAATTTCTATGCGAAATCATGGGGGAAACAAAAAGCAAACAAAAAATTGAAAAGTCCGAAAATTTTGCAGTCTCAAAAGAAAATCTGTCACCCCGTTAGGTTGGCCCATAACGCTGCTTTCACGTCCAATATTAACCGAAATGTATAAATCTTCGATATACCAAGTAATAAACGTTGCATATTTCACTTTCCTCTAGGTTGGCTCCGCATTCAGTAGTAAACATATTTCTACTGGTTGCTTCAAGTATTCTACTGATAGATGTCAAAACTGATCGAGAAAATCGTGAAACAGGTCCATCAGCAGTTTTCCTAAAAGCGAAGTTTATTCACCCGATGGACTCATATTTTTTGTCGGATGCACCGATTTTACCCTCTACCTATGTTCCCGAATGTCGGATAATCTGCGCGTACACGCACACAAAAAAAAAAACCGCATTTCAGACGCAACAAATACAAAAAAAAACTTGCCAGTCACATCAAACGCAATGGACCCATCGAACATGTAACGCTGATTCACTGAATAAACAATTTCTTGAGATATTATTTTGACCTAAAGCGTCGTTTCGTGTCGACAGAATTTGGGTTTTTTGACCAAAATTTTCGCGGATTTAACCTAAAGTCGGTTTTTTTTTATTAATTACACAAACGTTGTCCTGTCATTGTTTTTTAACCAGAGCTGAAAGCTTTACAATAACAAGACGACGCTTTTTTAACTCCAAAAAACTGATTTTGAGTTGAATCCACACAGATTTAACTTTTAAAAACCAAATTTTGTCGACAAGAAACGACCCTTTGAGTCAAAATAATATCTCAAGAAATTTTTCAGTGTAGGTAGAAACAGCCGCGTTCGATTGATGAATAAAGTTCGCTCCCAGGAAGTACAAAATAATTAAAAACTACAAATAAATCAAGAAAGGAATAAAACGAAAGAAATGACTGAAGTTTCAATCTCAGCCCGCAGAGGTGCAGAAAGTTCCTTGCCTTCCCACTTACTTATCAATTCCCCTCCCATTAAAAATCCCTAATATTCTAATTCTTTTTCTCCAAATTTAATCTCTCACCCTTTATGTTTACCCTCTTCACTTTATTTCATTTTATTTCTTTTTATTTTTTTTTAGCGTATAAAGATGTTTCGGAAAATATGAGGAGAACCACATTTTTCAATTACTTAACCAATTTTGAAAGCCCCTTTTTTTCATTTTTATTTTTTTTTTTTTTAACCTCCCCCCCTGCAATTTTTCTTCGAATTTTTTTCAATTTTTTTCTCTCCAGATTTAACCTTCCCCTTTTATTTTTACCCTTTTCACTCTATTTCATTTAATTTTAATTTTTTTTCTATCATATCAAAATTTTACGGAAAAAATAACGAAAACATCGCTTTTTCAATTACCTAACCAATTTTGAAGGGCCCTAATTTTTTTTTTTTTTTAATTCAATCTTCCCTCTTACTTTTGCACTATTTATTTTGTGGCATTATACTTTGATATTCCGGATAGTTTAATACAAATTATTCTTCTCAATTACCCAACCCATTTGTAAAGCCCATTATCTCCCAATTTTTTCAGGTTTGAACTTTTTCTCATTACTTTTGCGTTTTTTTCCCCGTTTTTTTTTGTTTTAAATTTTATTTTATGTTTTAAATTTAAATCATCAGCTTTGGCGCAATTTTCACCCTAAAGCAAGCCGGCCTTTATATTCTCGAAACCTTCTCTCGTGACCTTCCCAATTGCGTGCGAGCTCCACCCGCCCCGCGGTCGAAAAATCTCTGCACCCCTGCCCAGCCATTTTCCAATTCGCTCAGCCTCAAACTTTTCAACGGGCATCTTCACCCGTGATGAGTATCTAGGATAGATTTTTGGATTCCCGAGCGGAAACTGTCTGGATCGCTCTCATGTTTTCTTCTTCTTGAGCTTCGTCTTGGGCTTTTGCGGCTCCGTGTACGACTTCTTGTAGAAATCGTAGAAAAGGTAGAAAACGACGATCACATCCGGGATGAATATCAAGGCCAGTCCTTTGGGCACCTCGCAGGTCGGCATCAAAGCCTGCGATGCGTACATCAGGATCATCGTGAATTGTACCTGGAATGTAGCAAAACAGAATCGTCAAATCGATGATGACAGTCAGGGAAAACCGGGAAATGTCAGGGAAAATGACGAAAATAACAGGGAAAATATGTTAAATCACCTTTATTTGATTTTTAGAATGGGTTTGAAGTTTCATACAACAAACTTTGCTTGAGAACTATTTTCAATTCACCACTAGACAAGGTACGAATTTCAGCATTCTGACACATGTTTCTTAACCAAAATTTCACGTAGAATACGATGCGCACAACAAAAATTACTGAAATCAACTCCTTACAAAGACATTTAATGATTCCTGATGCGTGAATTCAAAAATGCTCTACGTCATTCACATCGCGCGCTAAACGTTTATCATGACAGTCTCTGCGATATAAAAATCTGGCAACTTCAATCTTGACGCTTTGGCTCAGCTACAGCAAATTGCTAATAGTTTGAACAACACATGGTGGGAAATTAACATTGCTCGATTGAGAAGCTTGCTGAAACCGTTAGAGTGTGCGATTTGACTCGCGCAGAGCTTTGATTTTCTTGTGAGTGGGCAGTTCAAATTCCTCGTAACTAGTGTGAAATAAAAACGTAAATATCTTCGTTAGGAGTTGGTTTCAGTAATTTTCGTTGTGCGAATCGTGTTCTACGTGATATTCTGGTTAAGGATCATGTATCAGATTGCTTAAATTCGTACCTTGTCTAGTGGTCCATTATTTCAATTATTATATTTCAGGTGTTCGCAACGAACTCCTAAACAATTGATCCTTTACCATAGCTTCGATTGGAGTAATATCGATACTAATCGATCGTGTACGCTTCGCCACTCGAACGAATCCATCCTCGTGTCGAAACCTTTCGAGAGGGCTAAGCGCGAAAAAAACAAACCGAGAACCCCAATAAAATACGGAGTACACCGTACGAGCGTATCATCGTGATTGTAAAACGCCCCTGAATTCGCGATTGCGAGTTATTGAAATTTTACTGCCTCGCGGGATGAACGGTGGGTGAACGACTCCCCCCCCCCCTCCGAACCTATATAATATCCCCGCTTCATAAAAAAAGGCTCTCGGCATTGTCGGTAACGTTTTGATAAATGTGTGCTCACTTTTTCAAACTCCGATGGTTCCGGTCGGATAAGTATGCCGCCGTGCTGGGGAAGAACGCCGTATGAACATTCGAGAGTTGTCGGATTTCCTTCGATAAAATGGTTATTTTTGAGGAAAGTTATGAATATTTTTCCATCAAATTTTCAGAATCTCTAGGTGAAATCGCGAACAAAATTATCTGAAAAATTGGGAGGAAAATACTCATAAGTTTACCAGAAAATTTACCTTTTATCAGAGGGGATTTGGCAATGCGTGGAGGCTCATACGGCGTTCTTCCCTAGCACGGCAGTTATTCAACACCCGGGTCTTGTTTCGCCGTATTTATGGCGCACCTGACTACGGCAGGGTGCAGAAGTTTTCCGACACGATCCCTGCGAGATCCCTGAGAAACTCTGCGGGTTTGGAGTTTTTGGTTTTGGTTTTTCGAATGGTCAAATTTAACAGTTTGATGTACGACTTAGAGTTTCTTCATCGTAAGATTCGAGAGGCATCTCGGGTCCTTTTGACACGGACGGTAAGAAATATTCTACAGTTCGTTACAATTTTTGTAGTATTTGATCAATATTATTTCCTTTTCTGCCAAGAAAAACATGAATGAAAATTTTTCTGTGAATGATTTCCTCATCGGATTTTTATTTGAGAAAACTGGAATTCCTGTTGTCCAAATGATTTTATGTGCTCTTCCTTTTTTATCGAGGTTTTATTCAAAAGAAATTATCATAGAAATCCTTATAATTAAAACATTAAACAAAGTTAAAAGTTTAACATTTATTAATTAAATAATAGTAACTGCTATTTGTTCTTTAAAAAATGATAATAATTATTAATTTAAACAATTATTTTTTAATTATTATTTAATAATTATTGATTATTAAGCGACTGGAATTCCTGTTGTCCCGACAACCGGAATCCCCCTTGTCCTGACAACTAGAACCCCTTTGGCGTAGTAAAAAGTCCGTACGTCTCAAATAAAAATTCGATGTTAACAGGACTCTCCTATAGCCGCTCTCAAAAATTTTTTCTCATTCTTAGAAGCACTTCTGAATCAGAAAACGAACAGCGCGTACGTTGTTATCTTCTGCAGGGATGTTCGTCTGAGCGCTCAAACTTAAGCTTTCAGAAGGGCTCATTCATGTTTTTTCCATCCCTTTCATTGACTAGTTGGTCAAGAAAAGACTTATCGCGCCGAATTTCTTTTTTCAATTCCCCCTCTCATTCCGTTAGTTCCCTGCCGTACCCTTAATTTCAGTTTCTCGGTTCATTTCAATTTTTTAATCTTCGCAACCGAAGTGCCGTATCACTATCAAGGAGAGTATACCGAATTACCGATGGCCAAACTGTGAAACCACGTATGTCCATTTCCGACGTTGCAGACTTCCAGCCAAATGGAAATCTAGTCAGTGTTATTTCTCGGAAACTTCTTGGACTTTTCCTATTTGTCAGCAAAATATTCGGTAAAAATTTCAAGTTGTAAAGTTGGTTTGTTTCTACTCAAAAATATAAGATAAGAGTGGGCATTTTCAAACACTGCAGTGGAGATATGTGGTTCCGCACTTTAGCCATCGATATAGACGTCAGAGGATCTGTTTTGTGTTATGGCGCAGGCATCTTAGATATATTTAATAAGGCTGTTTAGGAATTAGGACTCCAAAAAACGGTGGACCATGCCATACCATACAAAATACCGTCCAAAGCGCCAGGTCAAAGCGCTAATTACACTTACCATTTGCATAATAGTGATGTACTTTTTGAATTTGTTGATCTTCTGAGATACTTCACCTCCCAAAGACGTCAGGTAGTAATAACCGTACATGACAATGTGTACAATAGAGTTTAAGAGAATTGGGAAAGTAGCCATGGGACCTGTGGAAATAAAGAAGAGAAAAATAGCTCAAAGTTCTCAAATTCGATTTTCCCTGTACTTTTAGATTTATATTTCCATCCGTCATTGATTCTCTCATCTTATACAAACGATGAGGTATTTACCTTTTATTTTTTGTTGTGTCCTCTATCGTGCTCAAGAAAGACGCCGTATGAAGATGGAGATATTGCAATTTCTTCTCTTAAAATCAGATTTTTTTTTTTTTTTTTGAAAACTTGAGAAATATAAGCATTGAATATTTGAGAAGATTTCCTTTACGATTCTGGATAATCTAATCCAACAATCTAAATATTTCCAGGGGAATATAAATGAAATTTCTTAGAAACGAAATGATGCTATAGAAATGAATTCGGTAGCATGTCGAATTTTCATACGGCTTTCCTCTTGAGCACAGCAGTCTCGAGAAGATCGCAAGAAATGCATGCAATATCGCCATCATCGTTATTTTCAGGGTGATGTCATTTTTATTAAGGAGACGAGAGGCAAGAGCCGTTGACAACTCATTCGCCGGAATTTGATTTCAGCAAAATTTTCCCTCCTCCACCTCCCTCCCCCCCCTGCTCGCATGTGAGCACCCAATAATGCGACTTAATATTCATCCCTCGGTATCTTTTCACGTCACCCTCAGACCGGCCTACAGTGGATCGACTTTAAGCCGGAGGGTGGAAATTATGGGGTAAAAAGTGAAAAGGAATATTGATATTTCATTGCAAAATTTCAAAAGGCTGCTTCAAAATTTCTCAATTATAAAAGTAAAACCTCAGAACAAAATATAGATAGGTACATTTTGCAATAAGGAACTATAATTTCTGGCTCATACATTCAAACCTATGATGTGCATAGGGAAACTAATGGTATATACGTTGTTTCTAAACTCAGCGAGAAATTGTTGTTCCTTATTGCAGAACGCTCTTCATATGAATAAACATGCAGTTTATATCGGGTTGTTTCAGGTTTATCCGGTCAACCAATATCAATTGGATTGCATTTTGCAATCAGGAACTATAATTTCCGGATCGGTCTTGATACAACGTATGTACCATTTGCTCTGCTATGCGCACACGTGTTTTTTCGGATGAGCCAGAAATCGCAGTTCCTAATCGAAAAATTTAATCCAACTCTTTTAATTTCGACCACACGCCCGATTTTCAACGATCCACTGTGCTGCCTCGCAGTCACACGCGATCCTCTTCAGCCTGAACAACGGAACGTCCAACTTTTTAATAAATCTCCGTTGTGTCGGTATTGAGATCGGACTCATTCGTAAGCGTATCGGTCGATGTTGAGTCCAAAAAATTCCATTTTTTTCATGAGCCCGAATGTCCATAGGAACGCTTCAATCCCAGAATCCATCAAAAGATGGACATACTTGATTCCAACTTCAACCAATTCAAGTCCTAATAACGGAAGGAACCAACGGGGCCCGTCCAACTTCGGTTTCTAAAGTCACCCTCTTAAGTCCGCCGTAGTGGAAGGTAACGGAAAAGTTTCATCGTGTGCAGTATACTGCAGTGCTGAGGAAGAACACCGTATGAACATTCGAGAGTTGCCAAATGTCCTTCAATAAATGTTTAGTTTTGAGGAAAGTTATAAATATTTTTCGTGGAAATTTTCAGGGTCTTCAGGCGAAATTGTGAACAAAATTATCTGAAAAAGTGAAAGGAAAATATTCATTAGTTTACCAGGAAATTCGTGGTATGGAAATGGAAATTTGGCTACGCCTGAATGTCCACACGGCGTTTTTCTATGGTACGGGTGTATAAGGAGACAGAGCGAAGACAAGGACACTCACCGGGATAGAATTTACAGCCAATCCACGCCAAAATGAGGGTTGATACATGATGGTAGACGTGTAAGCCCGAGACTTGATTCTCTTTTTTCCTCAGAATGAAAAATACCTGCCAGAATAAATCGTGAAAGTTTATCAGCGAAAGTCCAATTTATTACGATCACACGCTTGGATCGCATCTAGCCAAAAGGAGCCGGCGTAATTACAGTGTTGTAAACATGTTGCATCTTCATAATTTTCTAAAATATCTTCGAGATTAGGAATTACATCTCTCTTCTCACCGGAAAATTATTTATTTTAAAAAAATGTAATCGTGTAATTTGAATACTGTATACATGTTTTAAGTGTTATTAGGAGAAAAGAAGAAGTTGAACGACTTTGAAAACAGTGTAATTGCGCTGGTTCCTTTTTGCCAAGTGCGGTCCGTTTACATGAAGAAACGTACAGAAAGTCCCAGCCCCCTCAACGTTTGGACGATTAAACATAGAGAATTACATCTTTGGCAATGTTCCCATCTTTAAAAAAAAAAATATATTTTGCAGGGGTCAAAATCCTTACCAGTTCGGTCTGATTTATTTCAATCGAGCGATCTCATGCCGTGAACATGGGAGATTATACGGAAAAAAAGGAATGATAGATTTAACCATATATATGCTGCTGCAACCCAAGAAATACGGTTAATAGCCATTTGGCTGCTAACTTATTTCTATCCTTCAGTTATCTTTCCTAGAAATACGGTGAGCTTAAAACCGCATAGCTTGGCTAACACCAATATTAGCTGTAAATGTGGTCAAATTTTATTATTAGTTCCTTTCAGTGCAGAATGGACCACTAGACAAGGTGCAAATTTCAGCATTTTAATACATGTTTCTTGACCAAAATTTCACGTAAAACACGATGCGCATAACGAAATTTACCGAAATCATATCCTTACGAAGATATTCAATAATTCTCGATGTGTGAATTCCAACCACCCTTTCATGAAAACTCAATGCTCTATGTGATTCACATCGCGCGCTAAATGTTTATCATGACAGTCTCTGAGATATAAAAATCTGGCAACCTCAATCTTGACGCTTTAGCTCAGCTGTAGCAAATTGCTTATAGTTTGAAGAACACATGGTGGGAAATGAACATTGCTCGATTGAGAAGATTGCTGAATCCGTTGTAGTGCGCGATTTGACTCACGTAGAGCTTTGAGTTTCTTGTGAGCGGGCAGTTCAAAGTCCTCGTAACCAATGTGAAATAAAAACGTTGATATCTTCGTTAGGAGTTAGTTTCAGTAATTTTGGCTGTGCAAATCGTGTTTTACGTAAAAATTTGGTCAAGAAACATGTATCAGATTGCTGAAATTCGTACATTCTCTAGTAGTCCATTTCAATTTTTTTCGGAACTTTTTTTTTATTTTTTATTTTTTTTCTAGGTATTTCTTTTTTTTCTATTTTTTTCTTTTCCTTTTATTTTTTGTTTTCTATGAGCAAGAATGAACTTGTTTCTAAAGGGCGGGCGTTCGCGAATTGCGATCGACGACCCGCTTCAATCAAAGCACGCGGGCCAATAATTCATCATGTCAGCAAGTTCGGTAGCTGATAAAAATGTTGAGCTTTGTTTAACTTTGTTCCGTCCCTCTTGGTCACTTCATTCGCGCGCTCGGATCAATCGGTTTTCATTCATTTTGCATACTGTCCATTTGTAAAGGGCACCGGGATTGACCTTTCCACCCACGCACCCGAAATATCCCTCCAACAAAAGGCCCTAACGAGGAGATTCAATTTTTTAGCTGAATGAAATGCTTCGTTAGTCGAGATTCGTGGCATATTGGCGTACGCGATTGACCTTTCTGAGTTGGTCACGCCTTTGAAGGGTCCTTGAATGAACTTGAAATTTTTGGACTTGAACTCTTCACTTGGTTTTGAGTCCGTTATAGTACGTTATAGTACGGAAATATTACTGATTTTTTAAGGGCGGTCCGGATTAAATACTGAAAAAGTGCGGAATCCCGCAAGGAGGTCCGGAATTTTTTCATTTTTTTTTTTTTTTTGTCATTTTCGTCGCAATTTGAGCAAGAAATTCAAATTTTTGAAAATCGCCGAATTTCGTCAATTGGAGGTACTGAAAAAGTACTGAATTTTTTTGTTGAGGAGGTACTGAATTTCTTGGGAATGTACTGAAAAAGTACTGATTTTTGGACAGCCTGTTTTAGTAGACACCCTGCTTTAAGTTTTATTATGTTTGTATTCTAATAGTATCATTTTTTTCTGTTTCAGGTGAGTACTTTTACAGAAACCATTTGAAAACAACGCTCCTCGTGCACGTGAGTGAAACCTTTTTGAAAAGTAATTCAGGGCTGCTAGGTCACTCATTCCGAATTTTTCCTTCCCGTGACAAGTTTTCCTAACACTTTTTTCCTATTCGTCGCCAAAGCGTCAAGATTGAGGTTGCCATATTTTCGTATCGCAGAAACTGCCACGGTAACATTTAGCGCGCGATTTGACTCTCTTAGAGCATTGCATTTTCCCTGGCGGGAGGTTTAGTTCACGCGTCGAGAAGCATTGGATATCTTGATCAGTTCCAGTAATTTTCGTTGCGCGAATCGCGTTCTACGTGCATTTTTTTAAAGAACATTGTATCAGAATGCTTAACTTGTACCTTGTCTATAGTGGTCCATTGCAAGTGGACCTCTCTTTTTCCTCTCTTAGCCGCAATTTTTTTTATCCCTACTCCTATTCTCTTAGATAATTCGCTTTTCGAAGTGTGAAGAATCGTCTAAGAATTTTTAAAAATTGAATTGATCTCACATAATCGAATAATTGAGTTTAGGGTTCGCTGTATAACAATGGAAACATCAATGAACCGACGTAGTACTTACTGTTTCTGCGAGCTCTGCTATCTTAAGGATGATCAGCCACCAGAATATTCCCGCTAACTGCAACAGTTACATCAATTTGGGTAGAATGAAAATCATCAAAAGCTTTTTCGTTTTGCAGAGGAATATTGAATCGTTTATTTCGATAAGGGGCTGGGTCTGAGAAACGAACTTTTTAAGACGTATTAAAATTTTGGAGTCCGGGAAAAGCAAACAAAGTCAGGGAATTTGAAGACGGGGACTGAAATTATTGGCAGACCTGAATGTGTAAGGGATAGAGCTTGGGTTTCAATATCTCTTTCATACGAATTGAGTTCATGAGCGATGTTCGTTATTATTGTAGTAGTTAACGATATAAATGTCTAATGAATTTTCACAAATTTTCCGGGAGTTGGTTTCTTTTTGTATTGTTTTTGTTTTTCTTGTATTCCGCCATTTGCTCAAAATGTTTGAAGATGAGACTTTAATTGATCATTGGTTTTGTCAATATTTGAAGTCAACTTTTGATATTGATTAAAATACTCGAATTCGTGCCTACCTGGATATTTTCTTGGGTGACCGCCAAATCTATCGGCATACATCCTAAATGGAACTTGGTCGTCCAACCCGCAACCAGCAACTATCCAAAATCGAAAGCAAAGCAGTTATAAACCGTGTTGAATCAGTGGCGCGCTATGATTGATTATTGATTTTTCCCCATTTGAAACTGTGCACGGAAAAAATTAACTTGCTGATTTAACAATTCAGTTGCTAAAAACAAGTGACTGCAATATTTCAACGTAGATTTCACAACACAAAAACGCTACTTTATCCACCCCCGTGGTTCAATTAGCTTACAACAGTGGTTAAAGTAGCTTTTTTTTGTTATGAAATCTACGTTGAAATATTGCAGTCACTTTTTTTTAGCAATTCAATTGTTAAATCAGTAATTTAAGTTTTTCCGTGTGATAAACAATCGATTATTAAAGTGTTAAGTGCGAACACCCTATTTATCGATCCTTTTTCATATGTAGGTTATAATGGCAGATATCGATTGGCTTCGCTTCGAGCGCTGAAAACGGCGCCATCTTTCATGAATCTCTGGACACAGAGCATTTCTTATCGAGTTTTGTTTCCTTTTTTTTTTCTTTTAAACAAACGCACAAATTCCATTTGCACATTACATCCCAGGCAAATTTCATCGGGAAGATGGAAGGAATTATATGCTAGGTACAATACATTAAAGCCCTACTATTGCACTAACGGTGCAACACAAGTAATAATCGCACTGGTAAGGAAAACTAGGAAGCCTTCAATTGTTTCTGTATGCAACACGCGCGTCCAAAGAGCACGTATAATTGCATCAACCCCTTTTTTGATAATGCGACGCGTATATTAACTAATGTAATGTCAGCAATTAGACATGCACCAGCCCCTGTAAATGTATTCGCGCTTGTTTGTGAAGAGGATTGTTCACGGGGAAAAACCAGGAAAACAAAATTTTTCGCAGTGCGACTTGTTGTCAAGTGGGGCCACAAAATCGGAAATTGACTCTCGACGGAGAATGCCCGCACGAGCACCCCAAAAAATAACCTGTGGGGTTCTGTGGTTCGGTTTAACTATTCTTCGAGTAGCATCTGCGGGCTGATTATTGAAAATGATGGACAAAGAAAGTAAGTAAAGGAAAAATGGAGACATCCCACCGGTTGAACTTGAAACCGGTGGTTCCTATCCTTATGTGTATTGCAACCACTCGCACCATCAATAGAATCACTCCGCAGTTTCTCTTTGCAATTTCTCAATTTGGTTGTGTCCGTCAATGTCAATAATACTCAGCCCGTAAAAATTGGTAAATCCACAATGAGTTCTTTGTAACTTACCCAATAAACTACAACGGCACACGACAAAATTTGCGCTATGTTATAATAAGCTAGTATGTTTTTGAGTTCGAAAGCAGGTCGTGATTTCATCAAGGCCGGTCCCAATGCGTAAACAAATAGGATGTACCCGATTGAGATCAGTGAAATGGGCGCCACATCCGTCACGAGGGGCCAGTCTTTCGTCCGCGGATCTGAAACAAACAGAAAATTCAATCATATACTTAGTTTGTGTTATGCATTCGATTGCGTCAACTATAGTTTCAGTAACCGAACGAATACATATAGACTGACAATGATTGAATAAAGACTCCTTTTCCCAATAGACTGTCACATATCGATGGTCAACAATAAGTCAAAACATACGTATTTCCGATGGAGATGTTGCATGTGTGAGGAATTTGCGATTTGACTGTTGATTCTTCTGTAAAAGTTCGCGAGAAACAAGATGGTGCCACTGTTTTTCTCTGAAATCAACTCCCAAGCTCAAAAAAAACTCTCAAATTAAGGCAAACATGGAGGGGATATCCCACGCTATCCTGAGAGTCCACATCTACATCAAGGCAAACTCTCCATGCAAAAATAGGGAGCAAATACATTGACAGGGCTTCAAGCGAGAAATTCAAATTTTTAAATTTTTCGAACTTTGTCAAATAGAGGTACTGAAAAAGTACTGAATTTTTCTGTTGAGGAAGGTACTGAATTTTTTGGGAATGTACTGATTAAGTACTGTAAAAGTACTGATTTTTGGCCAGCCTGTTTTAGTAGACACCCTGATGACAGGAATACTGCGACGCGACGTCGCGAACCGAGATATGTGATTGCCGACTTACAACGTCGATTTATTTTTTTAGTTAATTAAATACGTCAGTCGGACTTTTTTCTTAAATAAAAAAATCCAAGATTTTGTCGAAAATAGAATAGAGGCACTTACTCCCCTTGCACTGGAGAAAAAAAACACATTGGATCTAGAGTTCAGACTCTTGAAAACATTGACAAGAAAGAATACTCTTGATTCAATCGGATTTTTGCTTGAATCAAAAGGAAATCCCCTTAAATTAAGAGGCTTGGTTCTTGATTTAAGCTTAAATCTGATTGAATCAAGAGTATTTTTTCTTGTCAATGTTTTTAAGAGTCTGGACTCTAGATCCAATGTGTTTTTTTCCAATGAAGGAAAAATGGAGACACCCCACTAGAATAGAGACACTTATTCCTTCACTGGAGAAAAAAACACATTGGATGTGGAGTCCAGACTCTTGAAAACATCGACAAGAAAAAACACTCTTGATTCAATCGGATTTTTGCTTAAATCAAGAACCAAGCCTCTTAATTTGAGCGGATTTCCTTTTGATTTAAGCTTAAATCTGATCGAATCAAGAGTATCTTTTCTTGTCAATGTTTTCAAGAGTCTGAACTCTAGATCCAATGTGTTTTAAGCGTGCCAGTAGGGCTCACTTTTTGAAATCACTCGGATGTACCATAGTACAGCACACCGATCAACCAATGCTATTCAACGGGCCGTCCAAATATTTTTTTCCTCGGACCCGTTTTCTTGTCTTTGAACCATTATACTGTCAAGCCCTGATGGTCTCTTACCAAAAAACCGAATGAACTGCTAATTGGGAACCCTTGAGAACATTTTCCTGTCAAAACCGTATTATTTCATTTGACAAAAACCTTATGGAAGCTTTCTTACGCTCGGAGGACTCAACTCTAGAACCCTCTTTCCCGCCAAAACTGTTTAGCCAATGAGCGTCTTGCACTGCAAGTGCAATCCGTGATGAGCCTCGTGACTCTTTATACCATGTACTAACCGTGGCCCCTGCAGAAATCCACTCAAACCACTGCAGTTATCTCCCGATATAGCTTTGGGTGTCAGGTTTCGAGCAAGGCAATAAAAGACGGCGAGGAGAGGGTCGCCTCGTCGAACCTATTATCTTCCACGCCCGATTAACCATTCACCGTGACGCCAGGATCCACCAAATTTTCACAAAAATTGTTTTCCGTCTATTTAGCGAGTTTTTCCTTACTTTCCGTTAAAGTACAAATTAAAAGAGACCTCATTTGTAAAAATCGGCCGAATAGGAGAGAAGTTATAGTTCGAAATCCAAAGAGATTAACTCAACGCGATTTCGATGCACGGCAGTTCGCCCAAATCACGGTCGTGCGAAATGCCGCATATCAGCTTAAAATCAAGATAATTGGACGGAATCTTTACAATCAATTTACATTCAACGTTCATGAATCAATATTTTCTCCCAAATTTAGCAAAAAGTACCAATTGATGCAAATAACAAAGACGTGAAAATAGTAGGTATGTGTCCAACATTTTAGTTATTCGGCACGCTTTTCCAACATATTCATGTTGGATTTTTCTGCTTGTTTTTTTTTCCAGTGTGACTTCAGCCCTCGGAATACTTTGACAGAAATTTGACACCAGCGGTCCCAGTATTATTTTAAGCCCACAAAGAAATTATAACCGCTCCGTAACTCGGAAGGAAATTAAATATTCCGAATCCCTCGCACCTCCCGCTCGATCGCCCAAAATGTTTCGACCCCCGAGGCGAGGGTTACCCGCTCCGGAAATCCCGAGCTGTTAACAGCACGATCGCCGCCGCCAAATTTTCCGGGGACTCGACGAACCCCCCGATTAAAAACCCAGCAGCCGATACCCGATACGTCACGGGGCAACCCCGCTCGACCACGCCCCCCACTCCCCCCCCCTCCGCTCTGTGTTCAGTGGCGTGGCGTGAAGTGCGATGTATCGATTGTTACGCCATTTAAACCTATGAAAAAAGATCGATTATCAGGATGTTCGCAGCGAACACCTTAGTAATCGATTCTTTACCATCAGTGGCGTGGCGTGAATTGCGATATATCGATTGTTATGCCATTTAAACCTGTGGAAAAGGATCGATAAACAGGGTGTTCGCAGCGAACGCCTTAATAATCGATTCTTTACCATAGGTTTAAATGGCAAATCAATCGATATATCGCAAAGCACGCCACGCCACTGTTTACCATATCTTCAAATGGCGAGGTATCGATAATCGATTATTCTCGCCACGCCACTGTCCGTGTTCCCCCTCGGATTTTCCGAGCAAATATCCACGTTTTATTTACACAGTATAATAAACCAATACCCCCGCGCTAAGCGGGAACGGCGTATCGGGTTCGTTTGCGCATCGGTGGTTGTGTGATGGGGGCGAGCGCTCCCCCGGGGGAGGGGAGAGAGGTGAAAAGATCGACGTGAAAGGGTATCGAGGGATCTGCTGATTGTTTTTCCTTGCCCCCCGCCGAACGGCTTAATAATTTCCTTCGGCGACCGGCGGTGTTGCCACACCGGGCGGGGTTTCGGGTGCGGGTCCTGGAGATCGTGCGTTTCTCCGTTCGGTTTGGCAACCCTGTTGACGGAGCTTTCGGGCACCTCGAACGTCGGATTCCTCGCTAGACAATCTTTCGAGTTACACTTGAATTGAATCGTTCGGGATCGTCAATTTGTAACCGCGCAAGCACGAGCTTTTGTCTTGTCTAACAATAGAAATAAAAAAGGTCCTTTTCATGTCGACGAAGACTCCCCCGGTGACTTTCGAACTCCCAAACCACGTATCTCGGTTTGTGACGTCGCATGATGGAGATGTTGCATGTGTAAGGAATTATCAATTTTTTAGGTAAAAGTTGGCGAGAAACACGATGGTGCCCCTGGTTTTCCTTGAAATCAACTTACAAGCTCAAAAAAAGCTCTCAAGTTGAGGCCAAAATGGAGGGGATATCCCACGCTATCCTGAGAGTCCACCTCTACATCAAGACAAACTCTCCATGCGAAGATAGGGAACAAATACATTGACAGGGTACGTTCCCGTGATTTCAGTTTTAGAGTCCCCAAATAATGTGGCTGAATTTACTGAAAAAAGGGTAAAATTACCAAGAATTCAGGGTTCTATTTGATCCCAGTTTTTTTGTTGTTAAAATTACCACTTATGGAATTGGTAATATTACCGAGAAATCTCGGTAAAATTATTGAACATTCTCGGTAATTTTACTGGGCCTTGGTACAAACGCCAATATTTTTAATCGACTGTGGTAGAATTACCGAGATAAAATGGCAAAACTACCGGGAATTGATTACAAATAAAAGTGGTATTCTTACCTGAAAAAAAAACCAGTAAAAATACAGGTTTTTAGGTAAGATGTTTACTTGTCTGTCTTGGTAAAATACCAATAATTGGTAAAAAAAAAGTGAGATGGTAAAGGTACCAACGGACCTTGGTAAAAACTCCGATAATTTTTTCTCAGTGCATAACAATCGATACATCGCAATTCACGCCTTGCCTCTGGATTGGACTAAAACAAAGAGACGAGAGAGGGTAGCAGCATGAAAGGTAGATGGGCTGCACTCTCTTTTTTCCCCTTTTTTTCCAGCGCGCAAGCTGTATTGTGGCCGAGGATTCGATCGAGGGAGCATCTAAAATTTAAGGCGCTTAAGAGACTTCACAGCAGTTTCGACTTCCTTTTGAAGATACTCCTCCGAATTATTAAACATTCAAGCCGGAGTTTGCGGGAGCGAACACGATGTTCCTCAGTCGGGGAAACGAAAAATAGACGCTTCGTACCTACCGAGGAATATTTGATGAGGTCTCAAAACTGTACTCTATATGGACGGATTTCTGTCGAACGGAACTATGCGCATTATGACGTGAGCCCTGTTATGCGTATATTCTTATGGGTCTCAGGGCCCATGTCTTAATGCACGTAGTTCTGTTTGACAGAAGTACGTCCATATATCCACACATGGACTCGGCGACCNGGGGGGGGGGGGGGGGGGGGGCATGAAAACGAAATCTCGTCCACCCTGTTTTCAATCCTGTCGTGTTACTTGAGAAAGCTGTTAGCGCGAAAATGAAGTTTTGACTTTGAGGAAATGGGCTCCGAAGCTTCCGAGCAGGAAATTTTATTGACAGAAGTCTCCAGGCTTTGTGAAATTGCCACCTATCATCCGAAAGACTCTAGGAATTTTCTAATTTTCAGGTTTTCGAACCTGAATCCTAAAATTTTTGTTTGAGGCCATGGTCTATTCTGCCGTGATAGCGAAGAGAGCAGTAAGTGCGAAAATGAAGTTTTGAGAAAATGGGCTCAAAAGCGCATGAGCAGAAAGTTGTATCGAAAGAAGCCTCCGTTATTTGTCAAATTGCCA